GTTTGGTTTACTTATGTGACAGCATTTCTTTTCTTTTTCTTTTTTAATGTATAGCATCCATCCATATGTTCTTGCATGTTGTCTACTTTTTCCATTAAAATCCTTAGCATATTAATCATAGTTTAAAAACATGTTCCTAGCCTGATAATGCCGACATTTTTGCCATATCCAACCCAGACTGTGATGCTTGTTTCATTTCTTCAATCTGCGTTTTTGCAGTTTAGTATGAAAAAGGTGGGTGTGGCGGAGTGGGTAAAGGGAACTGTGGCAACTGGGCCTTGAGTGACGGGGTGGGGAGGGTGAGGGGCAAGGTGGGCTCTGCAGTCCTAGGAGTAGGTCTGTCTCCGAGGGAGGCCTGTGCTCTGGGCTGTGAGCTTCACTAGTGCTTCTAGGGTTGTTGTTGTTTGTTAGTTTTTGTTTTAGATTTAGGAGGGACAGGCTGGCTAGGGATTGAGTATTTCTCCTTCCCAGTGTCTGAAGGCTAGACCCTGATAGAACTGAGTATTTCCCTTCCCCCAGGTCAGGACGGCTCTGATAACCCCCCTGTAGCGCCCTCGCTGGTTTCTCAGTGGGTTTGGCTCAGTGGATAGAGTATCGGCCCGCGGACTGAAGAGTCATGTGTTCGATTCTGGTAAGGGTATGTACTTCAGTTGCAGGAGGCAACCCATCAATGTGTCTCTCTCACATCGATGTTTCTCTCCCCCTCCCTTCCATGCTCTCTAAAAAATCAATGGAAAAAGATCCTCAGGTGAGGATTCACAAAAAACAAAAACCCTAGGTTAGGCTCAAATGAAAGACTTTCTCCTGAGGGCAGGCCTTGCTAAGAGCAATATAATGCTCACGTGCTCAAAGCCGCTCCTTTCCCCTCCCCCTTGTTGAAACCGGAGAGGGCTTCTCTGGTGTTCACTGTGAGGACTCTGTGTTGTGAGTCTTACCGCAGTGACTGGGTGTCCCCAGAGTTTAACCATCAGACATGTGCACACGGGGCCTCAGCGATGGTCAGCTGTTCTGGTTCCGTTCTGGTCCCGCTCAGGTGTGTGATTCTCTTACTCACCTGCTTTCTCGACGTTGGGGGCAGTGGTTTGCCGTGTGACCTCACTTATCTGATGGAGCAGAAAAGCTGTTGATTTTTCAGTTTGTTCAGCGTTTTACACATTGGTGGTGGTGACTTCTGATCTTGCGAGCCAGACTGGAAACCAGAAGTCAGTTATAAAGATCAAGGTTATACTCTGCCAAGAAAAAGTATTTAAGAGAGAAGTATATAAATATCTTAGGGATTGTGTTAACAACAGGAATATTCAAAATCCTACAATAATATCATGAATGTAGGATAATTATAAAATAGGACTGAGCAAATCAAAGTCTATAAAATTGAGAGATGTTCCTAGATGAGAAAAGTCAATGTTATCAAAATTTTAATTCCCCCAGGACTGTGTAAGTTGATATAATTGTAATAAATGCTTCAAAGGGTAATAAAGGGTTTCTAAAGTTAATGTGGGAGAATTATTGGAGCTTTGAATTTCTGTCTCTTACGATGTATTGTGAAGTTACATAATTAAAATGTAGGTACTATTTTTAAAAAAAATATATAGAAAGGGGGTTTGGGGGGAGAGGGGAGACATCCCAGTCAGAAGAAAATCTAAGTGAGTAAGAAGGTTTATCTGTGACATTTCAAATTCATGGGGACAGTCTGTTCTGTTTGTGAACAATATTGAGACCTTTGGTTAGCTCTTTAAAAAATTCTGTATCTGATATAAATACTAAAGTAAGTTCCAATGTATTAAAGAGGTAAATGTTATATTCTCCACTGAACATATATATGGATATTTATACTGTTGGTTGAGGTGTCCTAAGCAAATTAGCAAAGGAGGAAATCATAAAGAGAAAAATGTAATAGACACTACCACATGGAAGAGCCATTAAAAAAGTGTAGGACTGAAAAAAGTTGCAAATAGTGTCAAAAGATAAATGAAAAATTGGGGAAAATATTAGCAGCATTTGATTAAGCCCTTGGTCTCATCCATCTAAAGAATTCTCACAAATCTTGTAAATAAAGTCTCCTACAGAAAAATGGGCACTTAATGTCAACAAGGAATTGACACAAGTAGGTAATACATTTAGAAGAAAGTTAACCTCTTAAAAAAGCAAACTACAAATTAGGAACACATTTAAATTTTATCTATAAATTTGATTGTGTTTAAACAGAATTAAGCAATTACTGTAAAAACAAATATTTATGGATTAATTCTTATAGTAAAAAATGTTTTTTCTGATGGTTGACAATATACTATATCAAAAGCCCTCATGTCCCAACTCGTCATCTTTCTGATATTTTTAAATTTAACTATAAGGAATTATATAATCAAAACTAATTTTAACTGCAGAATTTATCCTAAGGAAATAATCAAGAGATGGATGCAAATCTGTATAAACAAATACTTGTTCAAATGTCATTATAGTGGGAAAAACTAAAAACACAATATCCAACAATAGAAACCTAGTCCATCCATTTATTAAGTATAAAACATGCTTATCTAGGCGTAAATGAGCTACAAAGCGTCCTGGCCTCTTTTTTGTAAGCCAAGTGATCATACAAACATGCGCCAATTAACATAAATGCTAACTAAGCACATCACAGCTTATGGCCATTATCTCTGCTGTTGGGGTTACAGGTGGGCGGGGTTAATTACTTGGTATTTTTCCAAATGTCGATTAATGCAAAAATCAGCAAACAAATGATTTTTAAACACATTTAAATCTGGTGATTATTGATGGAAGTTGTTTTCTTTATAGAAAATTCACAGATGGTTTAGGTGCACGGAAACTCTGTTTGCAGTGTCATTGTCTTTCTGAATGTGGCTCATTGGGAGGCCACGTTGCTCACTTAATAAGGCCGTCGTCTGACTGTGCCTTCAGAGCTCCGGTCTGTCTCCGAGGGCACACACGGGTGGTCGGCTTCTCTAAACTCTGCTGGTGAAGATGCAGTTGCCCTGGCCTTGGTCCTTCCTGGGCTCTCTTCCTGTACGCAGAGCCATGCATCACCCAGCCCTGGTTTTTCCCTGACTTGGCGTAGCTCTCTCACGCCTGCCAGGCTGGGGATGGGTGTCTGCTGGACCTGCTGGCGTGGGGAGGCTGGTTCCCCGCAAAACTGCTTTCTCCCGGCCCTTTGGCAGACTGGGCAGCCCTACGAAGGCATTCGCTGTGGGGATGCTCTGGCTAAAGGGAGCTGAGGGGGGTCTTAGGGCCCAAGCTGTTCTTCGGGAAAACTTCCCTTGCTGAGCCTCCATTTCTTCATTTGTTCTCACAGCAAATAGCATTGAGCCCCTACTGTCAGAAGCAGGTTTGAGACCGAGGAGGACAGACAGATAGGATCCTCGGTAGCTGCTCCTCTCAATCTGGAAATTCCACACGTTCCTAAGAGATGAGCATTCCATGTGGCACGGAGAATCCTGTGTGACATTGTGCCTGGCGCCTAGACGGTTCCCAGTGCATGTTAACTCATCGGTCCCCTTTCTTCATGGTCTGAAACTGGCCCAGGACAGCTTGGCCTCCTCTGTGCTCCAAGCTCAGAGAACACACTTCCCCTTTAGCTCGGTGCCTTGGTCCTAGCCGTCTTACTAGGAATGGGCTTAACTGGCAGGTGGGGGGCGGGGTGGGGGGTTGGGATAGAACAGGAGGTTCCGTGAAACAGGCTCTCCCTGCAGCGCGGAGCTGCCGGCTTTAACTCACTCAGTGTCTGGGTCAGCTTCTGTGCTGGCCTCACGTTCACCTCCAAGGGAATGTTCTAGACCCTTCTCTCCTCCACTTAGCATTTCTTCTCAAGATCTCCTACCTGAGGCAACCCAACAGGGAGGAGCTTGAGAGATCATGTGACCTGCGCAATGGTGCTCAGAGACGTGGTTAGTGGCGAGTCTCCGTCCTGCTCGGGTGTGCTTGCTTGCTTGTCCCTTCTACAATGTTTCTGTGGAACTGAAAATGGTTCTCTGAGGAGAACAAATTGCAGGTCAGACACAGCGTCGGGCCATTGCCCCATCGTGTGGAGCACTGGATCGCGCACGACAGTTAGCACTGGATTTGCATGTGCGTCGGCTGAGTCAGGTTCTGGTATGTTCTGAATCAGCAATCCTTCCCCTGCCCACCTGTCTTGTCCTACTTCTTCCCAGTTGGTGTGCTGCTGTCTCTTTCTCATATGCTGCTTATCAACCAATCAGCATTGAGAGTGAAGGACAGCAAAGTAGTAAATAATCAGAGACAAAATGAGAGAAGGAAGAGAGGACAAGCACAGTTTGTACCCAGCGGCTGCTTCCTGGAGGTGGCGTAAGCTGCAGAGGAGTGGGAGTAACTTGCACATCACCCCCACACCAGCTTTTCTAACTCCCAGTGAGGACCCCATGTTGAAATCCTTTGGGAACCCTGGCACAGGTGTTCTGTTCACACTTGCCATTCCCTGGGCCGAAGTCAGGCAGCATGGAAATGTCCAGGGCGGAGTTTGTGACATGTCAGGTTTTATTGAAAACTAGAGGCCCCGGGGCACGAAATCATGCTTGGGTGGGGTCCGGCCGGCCTGCCCCGATAGGGCTAATTGGGCCAGGCTGGCTGATGTGAGGGGCCGCAGGCAGTTGGCTGGCTGGCCCGCCCCCTGGTTGAACTCCTGGTCGAGGGGACAATTTGCATATTAGCCTTTTATTATGTAGGATATTATATAGGATGAGATTGAACCTCAGAGGGAAGGCAGGGATGAGAGGGGTGGGAAGAGATCAACCAAAGAGCTTGTATGCATATATACATAACCTGAGGGCCTGGGGAGGCGGGTGGGGGTGAGCTAGAAGGGGTCATTGGGGGAATAAGGGACATACGTAATACTTTCAAAAATAAATATTTTTTTAATATTAAAAAAAAGATGAGATTGAACACTGTGAAGGCTTGTTCTTGTCTGAGGTCTGGACCCATGCATTAGCCACGCTATCATTTCACCTTGGTTGTGCATTTTATCTCCACAGGACCAGCTGTCAGCTGACATGTACAGTTTTGTGGCCAAAGAAATCGACTATGCAAACTACTTCCAAACGGTAAGCGTCCATGAAGGTGAGACAGCTTACAGTCCGTTTGCAAGAGTCCTGGTGCGGACAGGAAGGAGTGTGGGTGTGAGACTGAGGCCCTGTGACTGAGCATGTGATGGAAAAGAGTGGGATGTGACTGTTCTACCTGTGAAAAAACCCTGCCTTTTCTTTCTCCTTGACTCATTCATGAAGGTCATTGCAACTCAGAGGCCTATGCAGTGGCTCCCAGGCCGGGGTGGTTTTGCTGCCTCTTCCAGGAGACATTTGACAATGGCTGGGGACATTTTTAGCTGCCACCTTTGGGGGAGGTGCTATTGGCATCTAGTAGGTAGAGGTCAGGGATGCTGCTAAGCATCCTGCAATACACAAAACAGCCCACACACAAAGAATTTTCCAGATGGAAGTAGGGCCAAGGCTGAAAACTCTGGTGTATCTTAAACAAGGACCTGGGGAGATGGTAACCCCGCCCCCCAGCACAGATTGGTTTTAACCTGGATTTTTGCCAGGATGATGACAGGTAGGTAAACGATGATTGGTGTGATCTGTTTGCCTTCTTCTCATTGAGGAAAGCAGATTTAAAGAGAGAGAAACAGGATCTGGGTTGAGAAAAAGTACAAATTAAAAATAGGGAAGTGATGGGATGATAAGGAAAATAAAGAGAAGGAACTGGGCAGGGGGACATCCTGAGAGGTTGAGGGTGCTTCGCTAAGTGTGCGAATGGCTGTGGGCTGTCGGCCATCTTCCAGCACTTCCATCAGTGGACACAAGTCCAGAGGCGTGTCCTCTCCCCTGAAAAAGAAGATATGCATCCTTCCAACCTAGAAAGTTATTTTGAAGGAGTAATGTACTTTCAAGTATACTCCATTGCTTTTGTTGGTGAAGGTAATATTCAACTTCATGGTTGTTAAAACTAATGAAATGTTGACATTGCAAGCATTATTAGGCTGCCTAATTGTCATTTGTATGCCATTTATTTCAATATTCTGATTTTTTAAAATTCATTTTTATTTTTAGTTGGAAACAATAGTATCTACCCTCCGCACTAAGCGTTTAAATCGTGAATCATTCTCCTTCCCTCATAGATGCCCCGTTTTTGAGGGGGAAGGAGGAGTTCAGAAGATAAATGAAGTAACTATTGCTCACAGGTTTTCCTCAGCTCTTAGCCACAGTTCAGCAGCAGTTTTAGCAGTGGGATGGCCAACATAGCTGGGAGGGACTGTTCCGGGAGCCATATCATTACAACCAAAGCAATTTTACCTCCTGAGGACTTGCAGAGGATTGTGGATCAAGACACAAGTTTCTGATCAGTTATATCTTTGCAGAAAACAAGATGTGTGTGTTGTGTGCGTGCACGTGTGTATGCGCGCGCATGCGTGCACACATTGGTTAATGGCCTTTAGCTCTAATAGGCAAATGGATTTCTCAATGTGCTTTTCATTTATATCCTCCTATCATCTTACCGCTCTGTGTTGCCTTTTGCTTTGGGGGGTGCTTGGTGTGGTAAGATGGCAGGAAAGGCGAGCTCTCTAGGTCAGGCTCCAGATCTGGGGTCCCCCTCACCCTGACGGTTCTCCCACCTCCCACATTCCCACTGTGGCTGTTGCTACAGAGACTAAGGGGAAGCGTGCCCATGGTTTGGGGTGATTGAGGAAGGAGTAGGGGCTCCATCCCCTTCCCCGTGAGTAGCCAGCACCTTCAGGCAGAGAGCTCCAAGGGCGCAGCGGCCTTTGGCAAAGGGTAACGCCTGCTCTTGTGTCTTCTCAGCTCATAGAAGTGCAAGCTGAGTACCACAGGAAGTCGCTGGCGCTCTTGCAGGCCGTGCTGCCGCAGATAAAGGCACAGCAGGGTGAGTGCACATCTGTGTGGCCTGGAGGGAGGGTTGGGCTGCTCCCCTTCCCAGAGGCCACCCCGCCTGCATCCGTTCACCCTCCGCTCTCCCCACGGGTCACGTTCCATGGGCTGCCAGCACTTCACAGGCCCGTGCCTGGTCCAGTTGAGGTGAAGCCGAGCCACACAGACCCACTGTCCTCGGGGATGAGGGGGCGTGGATGTGAGTGGAAGTCTGTCTTACCTGTTATGGGAGGCCCCACGGCCCTGCACACAGCCAGTTAGCATGTGCCCTGCCCTGTCCTCTCAGTCACCCCAAACCGCAGGGACGGAGGCTCAGCTGGGGGGCTCCGTATCTTTCATGGTCTTAGGATAATCAGTATAAGAGGAAAGACAGGGTCCAGCAGGGCGACCTTCACTCACCCCTCACAGCCTCCTTTTGCATCCCCCGTACACCCCGCAGAGGCCTGGGTGGAGAAGCCGTCCTTCGGGAAGCCCCTGGAGGAGCACCTCACCATCAGCGGCCGGGAGATCGCCTTCCCAATTGAGGCCTGCGTCACGATGCTGCTGGAGTGCGGGATGCAGGAGGAGGTAGGTCCGCACGGCCAGCCCCAGCCCTGGCAGCATCTTCTCTCCTGGCACTATCCCCACCTGGCCCCCAAAACCAAACATGGCAACATGAGGTACAGCCTCTTTCCTGCAGAGCCCAGATGGGTCCTGCTCTCGCCTATGAGCCTTCCCTTCACAGGGAGACTGATAACACTGGCTGTGAGGAACGTACAGCCACAGTCCAGCCATTCCTTCTTCACGTTTGTTGTTGTTGTTGTTAATCCTCACGCAAGGATATTTTTCCATTGAGAGAGTGGAAGGGAGGGGGAGAGACACATCGATTGGTTGCCTCCCGCATGCACCCTGACCAGGGCCAGGGGTCGGTCGGGTCAGCTACCAAGGTACGTGCCCTTGACCAGAATCGAACCCAGGACCCTTCAGTCCAAGGGCCAATGCTCTAACCACTGAGAAAAACCAGCTAGGGCTCCTTCTTCATGTTTAATATGAGTCTTGGCAGCTGCTGTTGCTTTGTCTTCGTTTTCCTCCTCCTTCCCTACTACTCCCCTTCCCCCTCCTCCTCCTTTGTCTTCTTCCTAAGTTCCAATTTTAAAAATAGACCTTTTAGAATATATGCATCCCTGCGTTCACTGCAGTGTTATTTGCAGTGGCCATGGTTTGGAAGCACCCAGGTATCCATCAGTGAATGAGTGGATAACAAATCTGTGGTACATTTACATAATGGAATACTACTTGGCCATAAAAAAGAAGGAAATCTTACCTTTTATGGGTGGACCTGGAGAGCATTATGCTGAGTGAAATAAGTCATTCATGGAAAGACAAGTACCAGATGATTTCACTCATGTGGAACCTAATGAACAAAAAAACTAGCAAACAAAATAAAAACAGACTCATAGAGCCTGGCCACTGGGGCTCAGTTGGTTGAGCGCCGACCCATGAATCAGGTTCGATTCCCAGCCAGGGCACATGCTCAGTTGCAGGCTCAATCCCCAGTAGGGAGTGTGCAGGAGGCAGCTGATCAATAATTCTCTCTCATCATTGATAGTTCTATCTCTCCCTCTCCCATCCTCTCTCTGAAATCAATCAAAATGTATTTTTTTGGGGGGGGGGAACAGACTCAGATACAGAGAACAGACTGACAGCTGTCAGAGGGGAAGGGGGTTGGGAGGAGGTAGGAACAGGTAAAGGGGGGATAAACGGTGGTGAAAGGAGACTTGACTTGGTAAGCTGGCCGCTCCCTCTCTGTCAGGCTGCTCTGGATGCTGGCCATTCAAAAGGAATGAGAATAAGTGTCTTTTGACTAAGTTTTCAGTGCCAGGCATTTTCTCATGTTATCAAGTCAAGATGAGAAGATCTGTAAGTCCCTGGGGCACAGTTTCATAGAGGGCCTTTTCCTTACCATCATTTTTTCTTTTAATTGTGGAAAAACTTCATGTTAAGATAAGCAGCCTCATCCCCTGGCTTGGGTCAGCCCTGTTCCATCGCCACTTCCACGTCCTGCCCCCACCCTGCTGTGGGTGTTTTGAAGCCACTCCCAGACATTATATCATCTTGTCTATGATACTGCAGTACTAGAATACTTCTGGTTTCTCCAGAAGATTAGGGATATTTTTAAATATAACTATAAAATTATTACATACGAAAAGTAAAATAATTTATCAATATCTTTAAATTTCTAACAAGTACTATAAACTAGATTTTGAAGAACAGAAGTCAGGTGAGCTGGCATCTCCTGTCTCATCTCCTGACCCTGGGCCTCCCGGCCTCACGTCAGACCTTCACTACCTCACTTTAATCCTTCCCTACTTTGCATCAGCAGATACGTTAGTAACAACTACACTCGGTTTCCTTAACAGAGTAAAGTCCTGTTTCTGCCCAGCCGCAGCCTCGTGCTCCTCCCCTCAGCTCTTTGGGTTTGTTTTCTGTGCTCCCAATTTCTTAAGATAACTCAGCATTTCTGAGTCTGCATCCGCACCACCACTCATTCCTCCTTTCCGGGACTCACTATGTGAACAATCATGTTCTCCTCCTGTTTTTGTGTCTCTCAATGGAACAGTCTTCTCAGTTACATAGTCAAGCTGAAGCTGTGCTTGGCAACTCTGCTTCTTTCTCCTGGCCTGTCCATTGCCAGCTGCGATTCTTTCCCTGCGTGGCTGCATGTGTCCAGCAGGTCCTACCTCTTCTGGGAGCTGCGGCTGCTGTCTGCATCATGGCTGCTGTGCTTGCTCCCTAACCAGACACGTTTGGGAGCTTCCTTGCATGTGTGCCTGAGATCTCTGGGCATCTGTCTGCCTGTACTAAGAAAGGACTGACTGACCTCAGCAGACCCCAACTCAGACCAGGAACATTTTCTCCTAAAGCCGTGGTCGGCAAACTGCAGCTCGCGAGCCACATGCAGCTCTTTGGCCCCTTGAGTGTGGCTCTTCCTAAGCCTTAGGAGTACCCTAATTAAGTTAATAACAATGTACCTACCTATATAGTTTAAGTTTTAAAAAATTTGGCTCTCAAATTTCAATCGTTGTACTGTTGATATTTGGCTCTGTTGACTAATGAGTTTGCCGACCAATGTCCTAAAGGAATTTGGGAATTGGGGACCCTCCATGTAAAGTAGCCAGGAGCGTCCGCCAGGAGGATTGCAGCACAGAATGCCAGGAGCTGAGAAGGTGAAACAGAAACCACAAGGTCTTCAACCCATGTCCAACTTCCTGTCTGGGACCTGGGGTTCCTTTCCAAGTCTGACCTGCGTCTGTCTTCTCTCCACCTACCCCTGGCCTCTTCTCTTTCTCTTCCTAGTTCACGTTAACTTTGCAGGAGGTAGGGGTTTCACTTGAAAAGAATGGCAGCAATTCAAAAATAACTCTGATGCCACACCAGCATGGCTCAGTGGTTGAGGGTCCACCTATGAACAAGGAGGTCATGGTTCATTTCCTAATCAGGGCATATGCCTGGGTTTTAAGCTTGATCCCCAGTGTGGGGCATCCAGGAGACAACTGATCAATGATTCTCTCTCATCATTGATGTTTCTATCTTTCTCTCCCTCTCCCTTCCTCTCTGAAATCAATAAAAATATATATTTTTTAAAGCAACTCTGAGAACAGAACATGAGGGGCTGAAGGGAGCATCCCCCCCCCCCCCCCCAAACACCATCCTGTCTGCCTTACCCTGAGGACACAGGCTTCATTTGGATCTAAAAGTATAGCCCTGGAGAAATTAAAAATGGCAGCAGAGTAAGTGGATGCTGCATGAACACGTTCCTAGGACCAAACTGGAATTACAACTCAAATACATAAAAACTCCCTGAATAATCAACTGAAGAGTCACTGGAGAGAACCCTGATAACTGAGGACAAAAAGTGGAGACCACATAGAGACTGACAATTGCTAATTAGGTGGTTTTGCCTGGGGGAAAGACAACTGACCCAACCATATTGGAAAACACCTTTCTCCAAGGTGTGAATTTGCTGAGGCCCATTAAGAGACTGATAATAACAATTAGCCTCCAGGGAGAAGCAATCACCCTACCCTGTTAGAAAAAGCTCTATTCACACTTGTGGACGATTGCCTGAGGGCAATTCAAGACTAAATCCAACAGTCTGCAAGCAGAGGCACTCTCTGGAGGCTTTGAGTCTTTGCCTGGTCTAATTAGACAGAAACAGCTTCTGACACTGTTCTGCACTAGAGACTGGGAATCATAGCAGATCTACCTAATACATATTCACAAATCCAAACAGGCAGCCAAATGAGGAGGCAAAGAAACAACCCCCAAATGAAAGAACAAGAGAATTCTCCAGAAGAGAGAGATGGAATGGAGATCAAAAATTTATATGATATAGTGTTCAGAATAATTATGGTGAAGATGCTCAACAGCATGACAAAATATATAGTAACTACAAAAACAGAAATAAAGAATGACATAGCACAAATAAAGAACACATTGGACGGAATACACAGCAGATTGGGGGAAACTAAGGATCCAATCAGTGAATTAGAAGACAAGAGTTGTGCCGAAACCGGTTTGGCTCAGTGGATAGAGCGTCGGCCGGCGGACTGAAGGGTCCCAGGTTCAATTCCGGTCAGGGGCATGTACCTGGGTTGCGGGCACATCCCCAGTGGGAGATGTGCAGGAGGCAGCTGATCGGTGTTTTTCTCTCATCGATGTTTCTGACTCTCTGTCTCTCTCCCATCCTCTCTGTAAAAAATCAATAAAATATATTTAAAAAATTAAAAATAAATAAGTACATACCCCAAATAAAATAAATTTTAAAAAAAGAAGACAAGAGTTGAAAAAATCACTCAATCAGAGAACCACGGAGTAAAACAATTAAGAAACAGGAGGACACCTAAAGGGAGCTATTGGACAACATGAAATGTTGCAATATTCACATAGCAGGAGAGCCAGAAGAGGCAGAAAGGGG